TAACAAACATTTGAACAGAAATTCTTGATGTAGAGGTCGATGAGGATTCAAAAGCAGGTGCTTTATAAATAGTAGAGAGTAATATATAGAGAAGTTTCTTTATGGAGTTGGGATGTGCTGTGTCGCTTTAGGGGGGGTTTGGCAGAAGAGGTGAGCCAGGACTGGTTGAGGAAACAATTACCAGAAAAAAGGGTGTTTTCATCAACATCTCACAAGGCCTGGGTCTGGGATGATAAGGAACAATATGATTTCCAGAGGTCGGAAAGTAAACGGTTGGACTACAATGGCATGAATGTTACTCAGTGTCAGTGTAGCCTAAGGAAGGAAAAACAATGAACCTGGCCATGTTACAGAGACAGTGCAAAGAAACCTTGGTCCTCTGTAATATCTCTGTGAAACAATTCAAGCTACCTAGATAGAGCTAGTTATTCAGTCTTTAGTTAGTTGGTGAAGGCTCTGGTATCCACCAGAGAGTAGTTCCACTCTCGGAGTAGGATACAGGCAGCCTTATCAAGGCTCCTTGGGTTACATATGGTACTGAGACCTCTCCAAGCCAATAAAGCAGTGTTTCTTTTTAAGAGTCAAGACGAAGTGGAAAAGGTTGGGTAACTCAAGAAGTGTGTTCTAGTGGGTGCATTGGGAGTGAGTCTACAAAATTAAAATCCTCTGTCTAATGTCACCAGAAGCAGCTTCTCTTTTTTGGGTGGCTGATGTGGAGGATTATTCACAAACGACATCAAAACTGTGGATTTGATGGAACATAGGCAAAACTAGTTTAGCTGATGGGAAAGGTTGTCAGGACCTATGGTTTACTAGAATCCCTAAAAATTATAAGTGCAGCAGAAGTCTAGCTGGCAATATCCTTAAGGCAGAGACAATTTGAGAATATGGATTGTATCGAGTTATGACTTAAGCAAAAATAAGAAGCAACAGCCATACTAAACAAGATTAACTGACAATACTTAAATTAGCATAATAAAAGCAAACAAAAGTTTGAGTATGGACTCAAGATTTGAGAAATACGGTTGTTGACCTAATTAAGAGTTCAAACAATATTGGTTGTGCAGTAAACTTTTTGGAGACAATCTACTACAAATCTAGGTGAAATAAGGGTTAGGCATGGTGCTTAGTTCAATTCTAACAAGGACACACTGTTACTTGGCAGTTTCTAGTTTAGGTTGAAAGATTATTTAAATGCCTAAGCAGTGGCTTCACCTTTGCACAAGAAAGGTGTTCATTACTCAGAAAAGTACAAAGACTTCATTGTGTGCTCCTGCTGTAGTCAGGGGTTGGTTTATGATGAATGTGGCCTATTGTGTTGTACTATTTATCATGTTAGTTTTTGCCAATACAGTATTCATAGTTTTCTAGGGTTTATTTGTTGGGTTTACTGTATGGTTTGGTAACTCTTAGTTTAGTGATAAAGCAATTTCTTTTCTTCAGCGCTTAGTTTCATTTTGTAGTTGAAAAACTGTTGTCTTGTGTATGATTTCTATTCATTAAGTGTTGCCTAGTGTTGACTTGTTTGCCCTTGTTCTCAGGAATCTCACTAACGAAGGATCAGGTATGTCTTGATTTTTTTGTACATTTCAATAGCTCTTGAGAGCTTTCTTACCTATCATTTTTTCTTGTGCAGTGGGATGTGCTTCATAATCATGTGGAAGAAATTGACAAGGCTGTTAATGGAACCTCTTAGTGAAAAGCTTTGCTTTTATTTTAATAGAACATATGTTAGCGTGCAGGCTGTCAAATCAGGTGCTGATGTTTTTGTATCTACCTAGAAGGGATTACTGTATTTTTAGGTTACTTGACTTTATGACTGGAAATTTGGAATTAAACCTCTCAGCAATGTATGTAATTACTTGATTAACTATATCAAGGAATAGGTTTTTTTTTGGGGTCAGATATCAAGGAATAGTTTGTCTCTGGTTTGATGCGTATACAGATATCGCTTCTGTCTAAAGAAGACGTCCATTTGGTGTTGTTGAATGTTTCATGAAGGATGCTGATTTGTTCCAAGTTTTCATGTTAGTTTCCCTAAGTTGTCAATTGTGCCTCAATCGTTATGTTTGTTTGGTGACAGATTAACTTCAGTCTAAGTCGCACAAAGAAGGTTATGTTGGCAAAAGAGAATGGGACAAGTGCTGCTTTTTGGGTTTTTGGTTTATCAAATATTGATTTTGGATCATATCTGCATATAGTCTCCTTTTGGGGGTCAATATAAACATCATTAGATGAAGGAGATGATAGGAACGAGAATTAGAGAGAGGAGTTTTAGGGTTTCGATTCGATTGGACTTCGTAATCGTGGGGTGGGGACAGAGTGGACAATCCAAATATGCACGTATTGCTGGTTACAGAACGGGCTGGAGAGACTATGGTCTTACGAGTTCTTTAAGTTACTGAGGCTACAAGCTACCGTTGGATTAATTCAACAAGTGAGATGTGTGTGGTGCTCTCACAACGCTCAAAATTTGGTCCACGGGTGGGCACTTCTGTATAAAATAAATGAACTTTAAACTCGTTTTCTTTGTTTACATGGGAATAGAGTGGGGATATAGGGGAATTTAAGTAGTAAGCTTAAGAAATTTTGAACACAAAACTTACCGCATCCGAGGAGTAAGTTACCAATTTAACCTTTTTAGTATAAAAAAGTTTGTTGTTTGCTCCATAATCTGAAGAAATTTTGGCCAAGGATTCAGAAAGCAAAAATAGAAAAAATGTTAAAATCTTGGTTTCAGAATTTTTCTTCCAAGCCTATTGGCACTCTAGTTTGATGTTTTTGGTCTCATGAAAAAGAAAAAGAAAATAAAATTACACCCACCTTTTTAATTCTCTGAATCTATTTAAAATGTGTTCGTACGAATACATGCTGTGTACCTGAATGAAAATTGCTAAAATTCACTTCCATGTGCGTACAGAAAAGGGGATTTATTAAAAAAATACGATGCAACACAATACAATGCAAATAATTGACTTTATAATACAATTAATCAACTAAGTTAAAAAGATTTGGCAACGAACGTGAATGACAACAAATTTGTGTCCAGACAAATTTCACATCAATCATAATTTAATTGAAGACGCGAACAGTCTTCACAGCAATCCAACGAAATGATTGGTTTCAGTCTACGTACGTGCGAACATACATGTTTTTTTTTTCTTCTGGTTTATCCAACTTCTTTTTCTCTTTCTTGTTGCGCAGAAGATAATTTGATGCCTTCTCTTTGACTAATTTGAACTCCTGAAAATTGAATAATTTTCCATTTCCACAAAGAAGCTATTGAGAAAAATAGTATAGTTAATTGATTTATTGATGAAAATTAAAATCATCTCATTTTCTTGTGGTCTCCAAAACCTAGTCATATAAACTCAGAGCAAGCTTGTATAGATCTGAATACCTCTCTCCACGTAAAATCAACCAACTGCAGGGACACAGAGGGATCCCATGTCAAGCACTCTGGGTAGAATCTGCAACAATGCAAAGCATGTTAAAGTCCACTAAGCTAACACCATTTTGTGGAGCCAGCTGCCAACAAAAACATCCATACCTCTCCCAGTCGAGCATGGATTTTCAAAGGTACAAAATCATCGGCACGTGTCACTCCTACATTTACTATTGCAGTAGCAGCACCAGCTTCATGTGCAGCTCTGTAGAAGTTGGAAAGTTAAAGCTACTTATCAGAAGGCAAAAAAAGAATGAAATAAATAAATGAATCAAGCCCTCAACAGATAAAACAAAGAATAAACAATAAGGATTTCGTTTCCAATATACTCTTATTGTTCAGGAAAAGTCTGTCCTTGCTTGCATAAGATTTTTTACATCAAGCTGCACCAATTTACTGGAATTATTAAACCTCATCTTGCACCACAACCGAGAGTGATTATGACATATAGCAATGAACTGACGACACTACAGTCAATATTCTTGATATGGGTCAACCGGAGAAACTGTCATTCAACTGCATAAGGTGTCCAGATTTTTATCCTATATTACATTACAAATTTTCTGTTACTTTTTTTTGTCAGAAGTTTACTGTCACTTTAAGGTCTTGGGTACGAGAATTGTGCAAACCAAGATATGAAAATGACTTCATCAAAAACTAAAATTTACAATGAAAAATATATATGCACCTGACAAGCCGGTAAGCAGACATCGTCATTACGGATGATCCTAGCACAAGAAAAGCTTCACATTCTTTTGCAGCTTGGATTGTCTTATCAGCTCTATCCTTGGGAACATTATCACCAAAGAAGACAACCTTCAAGATCACCATGCAACAAAAAGAGTCCCCTGAGATTTTATATTTCCAATGTACTTGTACAAGATATTGGAAGTGTTCAGAATCAGAACTATTGCATGAATTGATGCAAATGAAAAAGGGTGAAAAATCATAAAAAAGAAACGAATAGCGCATGCAAGACAAGGCCATAAATAAGCAACTCTCATTCCAAGCAATGATATCGCATTATATGGATAATTGTGATATACTATGTTCTAAAACGCTAGTGCTTTCTTAGGAAAGATAATACACCAAAAAATATTGACAATCCTTATCTTTCAAAAGTAATATTATAATCAAGTCTGCAAAGAGCATATAATTCCTGTTTCAGTGAGTGCCATACAGCGATCAGATTTTTAGGGACCAAGGAACCCATCATTTTTATGCCAATTTCTATCCCAAAAAAGAAAAAGAATTTCTTTTACTTTAGTGAAAACTTTGGTCCTTTCGCATGAGATGCTTCTAGATCTTTAATGTGACTATTGGTCAGGTTCACTCAATAGACAAGCACCACTATAAAAAAGGTATCACATAAATTCTCTGATAACCTGTTTCTTGTCTTGAAACTTTTCCAGCTTCTGAGAATAATATGCAAGTACTATTGATGATTCAACACTATAATAAAGATCGCATATAATATGCTTGCACATCTATCCAAGGACCTATGAAAAAAGAAGAACTAAATAAGAACTAAATGATTAGCATCACCATTCCTGACATGAAGAAATAGCTACTCTCATTCCTCTCAGTTGCTAAAATTTGAAATTCGCTAGGCAAATGTCTTACATCAGGTTTAAGCACTCCATTGCACTTTTGACACGTAGGGATGTGAAATTCCTCCTCCCAAAATTTTTCATCAATTTCAATGTCACCGTCAGGTCTCTGCTTCATGCCAAAGCTCCTTTCTGATCCAGGGTTACCATAGTCCAATCTCTCAATTGCCTCTGCCCACTGCAGTAAAATCAATTTTTAATTGCTCATTAGGCCACCATTCGTATTAATGCATCACAACGGAAACATGAGTTTGCAACCAAACCAGAGTTTACTTCTATAACTCATGAAATATCTTGAAATTTTTTACTTAGGACACCAAAAAAAAAAAAAAATTTACATATCAAAGAAAGTTCCTGCAGACAAACACAGGCAACAATATCATCAGTCACATAGTCCCAGACTCACAAGAATATATTCAACTGCCCACAGATGACACATGTCTATGGAAGAATTTTTAAGCAATTTACCTTTAATTTAGCGAGAAAACAATATAAGACATCTTTTTCCATTCTTTTTTCTAGTATAAACCTTCACCACATTCAATATTTCCCACATCCATGGAAGTCAAAGAAGTTCTTGACAACCTAAACATTACAAGGCAAGTTTTTTCCAAGGAGGAGGGATTAATGTAGGTAAGAATGATGCTATGCAATACAGAACAGTGTCTTGTTATTAAAGTCTAGCCAAAGAGTCTCGTTTTTCGGGTAGACTGAAGGTTTATCATTGATGAAATGTGAGAATGCTAAAGTGTGTTTAGGGAGGAAGAGCCTTTAGTTAGTAAATTACAAAGGGGTTCAATACCCATAGTCTGGGCAGATTAGATTATACTGTTATTTATCAAAGTATTGGTTGTTTCTCAATAAATTAGGCTTTTACAGATTTCCCTCTAGAGATATAGGCTCCGACAACGATTGGAGTAATATCATCTAGAGTTATTTTTGTAAGTAGGCTAGATTTCCATTATTTGAATCACATCCACTGTTGTCTTGAGCCATCAGTAACAGTGGGTCTGTTTGCCCAGAATTAACTAGTATCTGAGCTTCTAGTGGTCTGAATTTATCACGACATCAATGTTAGCACTAAAATGCCATTCAGGAATATTGAAGAGCAAAGTTTAAAAGACAATCCTAAAATGATTTCACTAAATATAAATCAAGGGTCTTCATAAAATCCATTTCTAACAAACATGACATTACATGTTACAGCCATTAATTATCCTCGAATAATAAACTGCACAAGACTAACCTTTGGATTAAGGGCCTTAACTTGGTCCTGAAATAGATCCCGAGGGAAGGAAAAACCACACTCTATACAAACCACAGAATATACAGTCCCATGTAATTCAACTGGGTTACTACCAGCACGGTGATGCAACCTGAAACAAGACAATGAAATTTAGTTCCACAGGCCAGAAACATCTTTCTTTGAAAAAGTTTGATGCGAAAACTTTTTCTTTTATAATTTGCAATTGGTTTGGTACTGATTTAGATTTTCTGGGAATCATTTGACTATAATTCATTGATAGTCTGAGCTTTTAAAATTTTTTCTAGCTGACATATCTTAAATATTAACCTTAGAAATTTCTAAACATAGTCGTACAATTCTTTATCTGAATTGAAATCCAGGATGCTGATTTCCACAATTTAGTGTTTTTTCCTCAATAATCCTTGAAACAACACAGCCCAAGAAACATACAGCTACTTGCCTATCAACATTTTGTGTAATCATACAGTTTATCCTGCCAGCTTTTTCTAGAGATGCTAAAGCAATATGAGCTGGACCAGGATGTGCAGCAGTAAACCGTCTCCACCCAGCATAACTCCTTGCCCAATATCGCCTCCGGGCCCGAATTGAACGGAGAAACTCCTGTTCATCAAATGCAGCAAAAGCAGAAGTAAAAGGCAGAGCTGTGAGAATATATTATACA